AGAAAGAAAGAAAGAAAGAAAGAAAGAAAGAAAGATTCCAGAGTTTCAGGTGGAGAACTGGGCTTCAGCTGAAGCAGGAAAGTTTGCAGCTGGATATGAAGTGGGAAGGTCTGAGCATCTGAGCAAAGGTGTCCTGGAATGAATTCCCGAAGGCACTTCTCCATCCCCAAGACCGGAATGTAGAAAGACCTGCCCAGACTGGCAAGGCCCCAACAGAGGGCCCCACTTTCCCTGAGTCTGCGACCCTTCCTTCACACCAGAGCTTCTCTACGACATGTACTTGTAGTACACTAGATGGAGGGGGGGGGGGGGAGGAGGGGAGGCACAGTAAACTGAAAAAAAAAATCATTTCAATAATTTCACACTTTATTCTTTGAAAAATCATCTACCAGCATTGAAAATTAATTGTGCAGCCCAACACCTTCTGTACAACCTCAGATCTTCCTATATATCAAGCAAAGTTTAAGATTCGTTTCTAGTGTGAAATCCCCCCAATTTTAAATTGTTGTCAGCAAATCAATTTGGGATGAGGGACCACCCAAAGCAGTGCCCAGGAAGATGAGGAACCACTCCTGGCGATACTCAGATGACTGAATTGACAAATCAGTGCATCAGTGCCAGATCCCAGGCAGTGCCGGGACTACATGGGCCTCCCTAGGAGAACCCGCATCCGCCTGCCACAGAGAGCGAGTTGTTTAACATTTGCCAGCCCACCTGTCTAAAACCCAGAGCTTCTTCTTACATAACCACCATGCTATTATCTCACCAAATGAAATTAACACTAATACCCTAATCAAATGTCCCTATTAGTTTCAAAACAAGTTCACAGATGGTTTGTATAATCAGGACTCAAAAAAAAAAAAAAGAGGTCCACCTATGACATATAGTGTGCTCTGTCTTAATTCCCTTTTTTTCTTATATTTTGGTTGTGTGTGTGAGAGAGAGAGAAGAGAGAAAGAGAGAGAGAGAGAGAGAGAGAGAGAGAGAGAGAGAGAGAGAGAGCACGTGCCACACCCAGCAGTGCTCAGGGCTTACTCCTGGCTCTGCACTCAGGAATCACTTCTGGCAGTGCTTGGGGACCATATATTTTTAAATACCGGGTAGATTAAGCCAAATAACCCTGCAGACTACCAGGTGTGACGTCTGGTTGAAAGCTTTGAAGCAGATAAAGAGCAGGTACTTGCTGAACTAGTGGGGGAGGGACAGGCCTCAGAGTAGAGGCTTACACACATTATCCCATTTATAATGGGATAAGAATATCGCTTACCATCCTTCTATCATGGGTGCAGAAACAGGTTCAGAGAGCAAAGAGATCTGCAGGGCCCGGAGCAAACACAGGTCTTCCTGAGAACCTGATCCCCACTTCACACTGTATCCTAGAAAGTCCTTTAGTGAGCAAACACCAGCCCCAGAACGGGTAAGGGAGCTGCCCGAATCGCACCACACAGGCACGCTGATGAGATGGACCAGCTGGACATCCCTGCCCCCTTCCTGAACCCGGCCAAGGAGGTCTTCAGAGTGGACAGCATTGGAGGACACATCTGAGAGGTCAAGCCCAAGATGCCAAGATGACACAAGCCACAGTGCAGGAGGGGAGACTTTTAATCTCCTTGAACAATGCATGTGTAGGCTAACAGATGTCCTAGATCCCAAGTCTGGGTCCCCAAAGTGAAGGAATTGTTTCCCTCAACCAAGAAAAAGGAAGCAGCACAGGTACATTTGGCTAGCCTAGATGTACATTTGGTAGCTCAGTACACTGGGCATAGTGCTCACCACAAGCTTTAAGAATGGGTAGTAGGGGGCTGGAGTGATAGCACAGTGGGTAGAGCATTTGCCTTGCACGCAGCCAACATGACCGACACAGGTTCGATTCCCAGCACCCCATATGGTCCCCTGAGCACCGCCAAGAGCAATTTCTGAGTGCACGAGCCAGGAGTAACCCCTGAGCATCGCCGGGTGTGACCCAAAAAGAAAAAAAAAAAGAATGGGTAGTAGTGTCCAGGAGGAGCCTTTTGAAAACCCATGCCCTTCCTCTGGCCCAGTCAGTGATCCTCACAGTGGAAGACTCTGGCCTATTGGACAGTGGGTGCTGTTACCCTGTGCCCCAGCCCTGACTGTACTCCTTAGCAGCTGCGTGATCACAGTCAGCCCATTTCACTCTGCCTTGCCTCGGTTTCTCTATCTGTAAAGTAAAAAGAACAAGCATACCATCTATGTCTTCATTTTATTCTTGGCCCTTAGAGCAGATTAGAGCAGCACCTGGGCTGGGGAGAAGACCTACACCGACGGCCCAGATGCATGGCCCAGATTCAATCAGTCAATTGAAGCAAACGTCTGAAGAGGAGCTAACACCTCAGAAGCACCAGAGACACTGGTGCTAGCAGGAGGAAACGTGATCGTGCATGGAAGAATTGTTGACATTGAACTATTAAATCAACGTGTGCTTCTATCTTCACCATCGAACTGCTGTGAAAGTTGGAAGAGCATTTCCTCAAAGACTTTCACTTCCGCTGCCTCAGACTTCAGGCTGCTCCCTCTCTCTAACCACCTGTGGGGCAGGCCTGGCTGGCTCTGGGCCTCTTCCCTCCCTGCTTTCAGCTCGGCAGCTTCTTGCATGTTTCCCAGGGGCCCCAGGAAAATGATCTGGCAATGTCCCCACATGGCTGGTACAGGCACTGGTGGGGCAACAGCTCCCCCAAGGTTGGGACATGTGCTCAGGCCCAAACCCCTGAGTGCTGAGCACAGGGTCTCGTGGGGGTGGAAGACGTGATCTGGGCCAAGCCCTTTCCTTGGATGAGTTACCTGTCCCTCTAACCTGCTTCTCCTCACCTGTGAAAGGGATAGTAATAAAGAACCAACTTTCTAGATGGATGGCGGTGATGTGAATAATAACAGCTGGTAGCACGCTCAGAGATGTCCCCCACACAGGAAGCCTCAATATTTCCACAGGGAAGGTGAGCTATAGTACAGCAGGGAGAGGGCTTGCCTTGCACACAGCCGACCCGGGTTCGATATGGTTCCCCGAGCCCCACCACCAGGAATGATCCTTAAGCACAGAGCTGGAGTAAGCCCTGAGTACCACTAAGTGGGTGTGGCCCCCAAATCAACATACTGTTTTTTGGATTTTTTTTTTCCTGCAGGACAAGGCCTCCCAGTTGTCCTGGTGTGGTCTTGGTCTCTGCCTGAGATCCCAACCATCCTCCAGTTAGAACCCCGATCACTCTCGAACATGTCCTAGTCTGAGAGAAAAGTGTGCAGCCACCCTGGATCAGTCTGTTTATGTCACAGCTGCCAGGTTGCTCCTGTTGTTATTGTCGATGATTTTCTTCTGACCACACTGAGACTACAGGAAGCGACCATGTTTGCTCAGAAGAGTTCAGCACCTCAGCACCCTGTCACACATAGCCCCCAGAGCCTGCACTCTCCTCCAGTCAAACTCACCCGGAAGGGCATAGGAGACCAAGGGGACATAAGCACGTGACGCCTGTGCCCCATTCTGGGTTCCCCGAACCCTGGAGTCGCTGCCCAGAGGGTCTCGAGTCACACCCCAAAGGGGAAGGGCGCTCTTGTGTGGCTCCATCCCCCCACCCCCAAAGATAGGCCATAGCACAGCTCTGTCAGGAGGAGGCGCGGCCCTGGCCTAGCAGCTGTGGGGGAAGGGACAGCGCCAGGCTGGTGCTTGTGTGTGCCGAGACATTCCCATGTGTGTGGAGGCGGAGGCGAGGAGGGGGGTTGAGATGTCCCCACGTGCGGGCTGAGAGAGCTGGTGCCGGGGCTGAGACGTTCCCAAGTGTGAGTGAGGCCCCATGCAGGGCAGAGTGGGACAGGAAGGGCTGCGTGAGCCTTGTCACTGCTCCCTGCAGGGACACGGGGAAGTCTGCACCCAGAGCTGGCCTTCCAGCTTGTTATGAAAGTGTACTTGTCAAGGTAACAGAATGGAACATATTTTATTTCACATTTTGTTAGCTTGATTTATAACTTGCAAATATTTAGACATATGGTACGTGAGCCTCCATCTGTACTCTTGCTCAACTCCACAAGTCCCTGCCACCTCTGCCCGCTCTCAGCACCAAATGTTTATCAAGTCTCGCCTCCGTGCTGGGCAGGGGGCAACCCGGGGAGTGAGGACCAGTCCCAGGCGCCGATATCAAGGGCCGGGTGGGAACCGAGCCCAGGCTCCTGGCCGGGACCCTGCTTATGGCTGCAGCCCCAAGCGCTCTCTGCTCCTTAGTTCCCCCTTTTGGACAGGAGGGCCCTGCCCTCTCAATACCTGTGGGACACAAGCTGAGTCAGGCAGAGGAGGGCAAAGAGTCAGCTCAAGAGACCCTAGAGGGTGTGAGCTGGAAGGCGCAGTCTCTTCCCGGTGCCCATAGCCCCGGAGGATAAGCAAACCGAGGAGACACGGGAGGCGCTGCGCTGAGGCTGGGCTGTTCCACTTCATTCATTCTTTACACGAGGCAGTCACCCCGCGCGGGGCCGGGCGCGGCGCTGGGGGCTGCATCTAGGAACAGCTATAAAACAAGCGCCCTGGACACCTACGCGCAAAACAGACTGCGCCCAGTAAAACTTTTCCTAGGCTCCTTCCACACTCACAAAGCCCTCCCCGGTCCAATGTCCACCTCTCCGAGAGAAAACGGACACCCAGAGAGGTAGAGGACTCAGTTAAGATTCTGCCGCTCAGGGCGCGTCCAGTTTTCGTAGCTCGCCAGCAGCGAGGTTTCGGGTTCCCGGAGTCTCGGGTCACTGTCCCAAGCTGCCCGAAGCTGGGGAGGCCCCGTCCAGCTCCCGGAAGGCTGGAGGGAGGTGAGCGCCAGCGAGGGGGCTGGGCCGAAGGACATGCGGGCCAGAAGGCAGGGAGGGGCCGGGCGGGGGGCGGCCACGCTGCCCCGAGCGCGCCCGAGCGCAGCGCCAGGCGCCCGGAGCGCACGCGGCTAGGTGCGCGCGGCTGGCAGGAGCGCCCGGCCCGGGCGGCCACGGTCCAGCCGGTGTCGGGCTCCGAGGCGCCGGCGGGGGGCGAGGCGGGGCGAGGCGGGGCGGGCGGCGCTGCAGTGCCCGACGCGGCGGGCTGGGGGAGCTGTGCCCGCCTGTCCCCAAGGCCCGGGCGGGGACCGGCCAGCTGGGTCGCCGCGCCTCTGGGCTGGCAGGGCGAGGCGACGCGTTGCCAAGCGCGCCTGGAGCGGGCTCGGGCCCCAAGTCCTCCCGGGCGCCCGGCCGGGGAGGCCCCGGGAGAAGCCGGGTCCCGCGGGGAAGGGAGGCCGCCGGGGCTGCCGCTCCGGCCCGCCCCCGGGGTGTCCCGGGCCGCTGGACCCGCCCAGGTAACCCCATCCTCGGCCCGCCCCCGGCCCGCCCCCCCGGCCGGCCGCCCGCCTCCGCCGCCGCTCGCAGGCGCTGGGGCGGCGCTGACAGTCTAGTCCGCGCCGGGCAGCGGGCGCAGCAGCGGGCAGGGCTGCCGGCAGGCACGGAGGCAGAGCCCCGCGCGCGCCCCGGCCCGCGCCCGGCGCCGCGCCCCAGCCCACCCGCCGGCGCCCACCTGCGGCCCGGACGGGAGGCCCCCCGCGGCCGGGCGCCCGCGGCCGCACCATGAGTCCCCGCTCGTGCCTGCGTTCGCTGCGCCTCCTGGTCTTCGCCGTCTTCTCGGCCGCCGCCAGCAACTGGCTGTAAGTTGGGCCGGAACCGGCGGGGCCGGGCAGGGGGCCGGGCACGGTGGGGCGGGGCAGGCCCCGGGGGGCAGCGGGGTGGTGCCGGGCGGCGCGGGGCAGCGGGCGCGGGGGCGCCCGGCAGGTGTCTCGGCCGCGGGGCGCGAGGCTCGCTCGTTCCCTGCCTGCCGGGGCCTCCCTCCGGCCACCCCCGCCGGCCCCGGGTCCCGCTCCCAGCCCGGAGGCGGCACGGGTGACGGCGGCGCCCGGGGCGCACGCAGCCCGGGCTGACAGGTCGCGGAGGGAGCCCAGTGCCGGGAAGGGCTCCGGGACCCGAGAGCAGGTTAATCCCGACAAGTCCCCGAGCCGTCGCGAGCTCCGGGCGCCGCGCTGCGCCGCGCTGCGGGCTGGGCTGCAGGCGTGCAGGGACCTGTTTCTGCTTGGGGGGCGGGAGCCAGGGATCCTAGGAGGGAAGAAACTGGGGCGCTGGCCTCCGAGAGCCCGCGGACCGCGCCGGCCGTCTCGCTCTCTCTCTGGGGCAGGAGGAAACTCCATCCAGCTTTGCAGGACACCAGCTCTCCTCTCCGTGGAGGAAGAAGAGTGACCGCTGGGGACCCTCTGCTTTTATCTCCCTGAACTGGCCTGGCTCTGAGAGTCTCCTTTGGGAAGGACTGGGATTTGCTGAGAGGTGGATCCTGAAGGGACAGTGGGTTCTAAACGAACCGGAGAGCAGGAGGACTCGGGATAGCCCCTGCCATGACCAGCGCCTAGACTACATCCCGGCTCCAGTCCGCCTGCCCAGAGTTCTGCCCCCATCCGCTGTGGGCAGCCAGTGGGGAGCCAAGCTCCAATATTGATCCGGAGAAGCATGAGGTGGGAAGGGGGATGGCCAGGAGTGTCGCTGGGGTTTCCATGGAGACAGTGGGAGAGGAAAAAAATTCTCTGTGCATCAAGACCAAAGAACAAATATCTCCCATGAAATTGCCCCGAATGCCCAATGGCTGTTGCTATGAGGTCATTGTGGCCAACCAGGTTCCCGAAGGCTGGAAAAGGGGTGTTGTTAGTGGGGGGTAAGAGCCACCGAGGGATGGGGTAGGGGCGGCATGGAGGTGATGTGGACTCCCCCCAGCTGTTCTCAGCGCGGGCAGGCGAGGAACTCGAAGGCAGCCTGAAGTGGCCGCAGAGTTTTTGTTTTTCTTGGAGCCTTCTTTGATTAACACTTCAGTGGCGATGGCAAAAAGGGGTTCCGGGCAGGACACCGCCCCTCCTCCCACTGCCCCTTCTAGGTCACCTCCCCCCTTGAGTACAATTGGGCTAAGAAGAGGGGACTGATGGGAAACTAGGGGAGTCTGGGCTTACTGGCCCCCAATTTGGGATCCTAGGCTTAGAGCAGGGGGGGGTCTCCAAAATGAGTGTTTCGGAAAGAACAGGAAGTGGGTGTGAGCAGGTGCCCAGTGCTGCACACGGGCAGGGAGAGAAGTGGCCTGGCGGGAGTAGCATCCACCATCGGGAGTCCTGCCCCTGCCCCTGGGAGGGTGCTCCACCCACCCGAAGGCAGAGCTGAGAAGGGGCCCAGCTCAAGGGCTCCCAGGCAGTGTCACTCCACCAGCCTGCCCCAAGGCAGTGCCAGAGTAGAGCCTGTGGGGCCCCATCCACAGCATCCCCCTCCCCCCAACAATCCTAGCCCAGGACCAGTCCCCCAGCTCTGGGTCAGCCACACCACGGGGAATTCCACAGCCTGAGTCTGGGGCTCCGCGGCAGGGGTGGGGAGAGGGAGGTGGGCAAACCTGTTCTCGGGCAACGGGGATGGTTCAGGTTGCCACAAAGCAGGGCGCTGGGTGACCCGGTTCGTTCCTGCTCCACCCCGGGCTTCCAGCCAAGGGTCTCTGCTCGGCTCCAGGCAGGAGGAGCACGGGGGTATCCAGCCCCCTCCCAGCCAGAGAGGCTCTGATGGAGAGCTAGGTCGGGCAGCAGCCAGGACCAAGCCGGTTCTGGAAAAAGAGATGACACCACCTGGCTGCTTGGGAACAGGTAGGTGGGGTTCAGAGAGAAAAGTGAGAGAGAGGCTTCTTTGCCGCACCTGGGTAGGGCAGGGTCCATGCTGCAGATGCCTGAGAAGAGATCATGTAAGCTGGAACCAGCCTGAGGTGCTGGTAGGATCACTGTACTGAGAATGATAGAGCCGCTCCCTAGGGTTCCCCAAATCCTGACAGATGGGAAGGTGGGGGATCACAGTGCCCCAAGTCCCTTAGTTAGTCCACGGCAAGTATTGAACCCAGAAGCCACCTCTGGGAGGAAAAGCCCTCAGCAGGCAAGTATCCCACCAGGCTTGGTGGCTCGAGCTGTCCTTCCCAGGCCAGTGATGCTGGAGTCCAGCTCCAGGGGATGGCTGGCTGCCCTCAGAGAGGCAAGGTGTGACTGTCCATGCTCCCTCTAGCCCAGAGCCGGCAGATTGGCCGGTGGCAAAACAGCCTGTCATCTGTCGGATGCGTAGCCTGGTAGGGAGCCCAGGTGTCCTGCGGTGTGCAGCTGCGGGGCAGAACAGAGCCAGGACTGGGAGGGCTCCACAGCCCGAGGCCTGGGCAAGCCCGGAGAAGCCGGGAGCTGTTGATTAGACTTGAGTCTGGCACCCGAGTGAGCTGACAGCTTGTGGCAGCTCCCCCCTCACCAGGGAGGGAAGGATGGCGCGAAACAGACCTGTCGGTAGGGTGCGAGCCCAGCCTCCGCACAGACCCAGCTGGGAAATGCCTGTGTTGTCCCCCTGTGAGGCCAGACTCCAGCCCTCGCTCTGTCCCCTCATCCTGGCTGCTGGAGAGAGAAGCTGGAGAGAGGAGAGAGAAGCTTCACTCTTATTAGTGTGGAGGCCCTGGAGAAGGAACAGTGGGGTGCAAAGCTGGGCCCCAGCAGACGGCCACCATGGGGAGGTGGGGCAGGGCAGCCCCGTCCTGTTATGATGTCACTGGAGTTCACTTCACCTTTCTGAGTCACCTGGACAGGGACTTCAACTTCTTCATCTGTAAGAGGTACCATGGCACCATGGCACCCTGGCAAGGCTCCAGGGGAGCAGGTGTCCCCTCCCACAGGGTACCCAAGAGCATAGGCCCTGCTCCCCCAGCCTACACCCCTGTCCTGTCATCTCCCCTAGGGCACACTGGCAGGTCCCTCGGTGTCCCGAGTCACACTTCTCTTGGGAGCCCCAAGAGCAGTGGTTGCTGGACACATCTCCAGTGAGTCCAGGGCAAGCCTCCCTCAATGGACATAACTGCCTCCATCCTGGATGTGTCTCAGCCAAGCACCCCAGTGGTGGCTCACCCAGTCAGGCAGTGGGTAGGGGTATCCCCTTAGCAGCGGCAGCAGGAGGTGGGAACCAAGCTGAAGAAGCAATGTCTTACCCAGAGGTAAAGGTGTGGCCAGGCAGAGCCACCAGATTCCAGAACAAAGGGGCCTCTCCTTTCCTAGAGTTAAAGCTCACCCCCTTCCCAGTTCAGGACATTGGGTTCCAGTCACAACAAGCCCACAATCCTCTTCACTTTCCTGGGAGCTGGGCCCCGCAATGGGCATTGTGGGCTATGGAGCAGCATCCAAGATGGGCCCACTGATGCCAGGAGCAACCCCCAGAGTCAAATGAAGATCTCTCCAGATAGTGCCCCATGGGACAGGGCAGGTGAAGAACTTTCATCCCCTTTACCACATTAGAGCTATTAAGGGTCCCTACCCGCCCCTACCCCAGAGACAGGAGAAGGTTTTCGAGTGCTTCACTCCATAGGTACAGAGCCAGGGTCTTCCCAACAGCACTGGAGACTGACTTGCACTCGTCTGTCCATCTCTGCCTGGTTTTACAGGTGACTCTAGACTGTTTCCTAACCAGTGGCTGTAGTCCAGTAGTGTGGCTTCAGGTGCTTCTGACAGGAGATAAACACCCCCTGTCCCCTCGGAGGGCCTGGCATATTGTAGGTGCTCAGTTAACACAGGCAGGGCTGGGTCCCCTGGCGCAACATCCAAGCCCTTCACAGTCCTCGACAGGGCATGAGGGGATGCCCCCCTGCCCTGAGTCACGGGGCAAGGGAGCCTAAGCCAAATTGGATGCCAGCAATTGGGGCCATCCCCCTCCAACTGACCCCCCCCCCACCCAGCAGAGCGGCAGTTCTGCCCGACCTCCACCCCTCTGGCCAGGCTGACTCCTCCACGCCAGGCTGAGCGCCGGCTCTCCTTGCCCTGCGCACAGGGCCCCTGGACCCGGCTCTGCCTGAGGCGCTCACAGTCACGACCCAGCTGTCTGCTGTGTCCTAACTTCCCTCAGCCTGGGATTAGCAATTGAGCAACTCAGCAAGCATCTGACAAGACAGTGCTCCCTAAACCTGTTGAAACTCGCCCAATTCAGGCCCTGTGGGTGCGTTTGGAAAGCTGAGCATTTGCACCGAACCTCCTCCTCCTCTCGTTCCTCCCTCTGGGAAGAAGGGGTTCAGGCCGAGCCAGCCGGGACAGGCGGGGGAGGACCCTGGATGGGGGTGGCAGCTGCCTGCCACGGGCCCCACCGGTCACCCCCACTCCCAAGGAACTCGCGAGAGCCGCTGCTGGTGTGTTTGGCAGCCTCAGCTGGAAGGCGACACGGCGACCCCACGGTTGCTGTCCAGATTTCCACAGGGGCTGCCAGGTTTTATCTCTGAGTCCTGAACTGCATCTTCTGTGATTCAGCCAAACTCAGGATAAGGCTCGCTCCCTGCCGTGACCCCACCAGTTCCCCCTTTCCCTGCCAAACCCCCCTCCACCTCCCACATCTCCTGGCAAACTTGAAACCAAACTATGTTTTAGAAGTCCCCCTGCCAAGAAGTCAGACCCCCGTGGTGGAGGGGACCTGGTCCGAGAAGAGCAGGGGAGGGAGGCGGTGGATAGAGCAGGGCTGTGTGCGGGGAGGCGCCTCCAGCCCACTCCCTGCTCGCAAGGGAACCCAGGCGAGGCTGTGAGCAAGAGCAGGAAGTGCAGGAAGGATGGAGGAAGGCCCCGGCTCACACCCCTGACCA